GACTTTGCTGCAGTACTCAGGACAGCTGGTGTGTTGAAGTCTCCCATGATTATTGTATGGTGGTCTATTAGACTCTTGAACTTGAGAAGAGTTTGTTTGATGAACATAGCTGCACCATTGTTTGGGGCATATATATTTATGATTGTTATGTCTTGTTGGTGTATGGTTCCCTTAAGCAGTATGTAGTGTCCCTCTTTATCCCTTTTGATTAACTTTGGCTTTAAATCTATTTTATTTGATATGAGTATGGACACTCCTGCTTGTTTCCGAAGACCATATGAGTGATATGATTTTTCCCAACCTTTCACCTTCAGCCTATGTATGTCTTTTCCTATCAAATGCGTCTCCTGTAGGCAGCATATTGTTGGGTCTTGTTTTGTGATCCATTCTACTAGCCTGTGTCTCTTAATTGGTGAGTTTAAGCCATTAACATTTACGGTTATTATTGAGATATGGGTTGTTCTTCCAGCCATATTTGTTTATTTCTGTTACTAAACATGGTTTGTTTTCCTCTTTGATTATTTTCCCCCCCTTTACTGTCCTACCTCCCACTGTTGGTTTTCATTGTTATTTTCCATTTCCTCTTCCTGTAATGTTTTGCCGAGGATGTTTTGAAGAGATGGTTTTCTAGCTGCAAATTCTTTAAACTTTTGTTTATCGTGGAAGGTTTTAATTTCATCTTCCATCCTGAAGCTTAATTTTGCTGGATACACAATTCTTGGTTGGAACCCATTTTCTTTCAGTGTTTGAAATATGTTATTCCAGGATCTTCTAGCTTTCAGAGTCTGTGTTGAAAGATCAGCTGTTATCCTGATTGGCTTACCCCTAAATGTAATCTGCTTCCTTTCTCTTGTAGCTTTTAAAATTCTCTCCTTATTCTGTATGTTGGGCATCTTCATTATAATGTGTCTAGGTGTGGATCTCTTATGATTTTGCACATTCGGCGTCCTGTAGGCTTCTAGGATTTGGGATTCTGTCTCATTCTTCAAGTCTGGGAAGTTTTCTCGTATTATTTCATTGAATAGATTGCTCATTCCTTTGGTTTGGAGTTCTGTACCTTCCTGTATCCCAATGACTCTTAAGTTTGGTCTCTTTATGTTATCCCATATTTCTTGGATGTTCTGCTCATGGTTTCTTAACAGTCTTGCTGAGCTGTCTATGTTCTTTTCAAGTTGAAATACTTTGTCTTCATTGTCTGATGTTCTATCTTCTAAGTGTTCTACTCTGCTGGTAGTATTCTCAATTGAGTTTTTAAGTTGGTTTATTGCTTCCTGCATTTCTAGGATTTCTGTTTGTTTGTTTTTTATAACCTCTATCTCCCTGTATAGTTGATCCTTTGCTTCCTGGATTTGTTTGTGTAATTCATTGTCGAAGTGATCTTTCATTGTCTGATTTTGCTGTCTAATGTCTTCCTTGATACTCCAGATCATCTGAAGCATGTAAATCCTGAATTCTTTATCTGACATTCCATCTGCTGCAGCTGTTACCTCTTCTAAAGTTGAGTTGACCTGCATTGCTTGTGGTCCTTTCTTTCCTTGTCTTTTCATACGGCTTGTGTTTCTTTCTGCTTGGTGAAACTGTTGTATTTTTGAAATGTTTTTTTTCTCCTATATATTTATATTGCTCTTGTATAGTTGAAAAGTCTCCCTTGCAGGGTCGGGCGGCGGTCTGCCTACCTTGCAGGCGCGGGCGGCGGCTCTGCTCTCTCCTTACTCCAATTGGGGTGTCGTGACTACCACGCCGGCAGGTCACTGGGCCTGTTTTGGGCGCGGGCGGTGGCTCTGTTCTGCCCCTACTCCAATTGGGGTGACGAGTGTACCACGCTGGCAGGTCACCGGGCCTGATCCGCCGGTCGGTTGCAGGTCTGCCTACCCTGCAGGCGCGGGCGGCGGCTCTGCTCTGCCCCTACTCCAAATGGGGTGACGTGTCTGTCGCACCAGCAGGCCACTGGGCCTGTCCCGCTGGTCGGTCGCAGGTCTGCCCACCTTTCGGGCACGGGTGGCGGCTCTGCTCTGCCCCTACTCCAATTGGGGTGTCGTGACTACCACGCCAGCAGGTCGCTGGGCCTGTTCCTGGCACGGGCGGCGACTCTGCTCTGCCCCTACTCCAATTGGGGTGACGTGTGTACCACGCCGGCAGGCTCCTGGGCCTGATCCGCTGGTCTGTCGCAGGTCTGCCTACCTTGCAGGCGCGGGCGGCGGCTCTGCCCTGCCCCTCCTACCACGCCTGCGGACTTCCGCTTCGCTCCCACTCCAATTGGGGTCACGTGACCACCACACCGGCGGGGCCTGATCCGGGCGCGGGCGAAGGCTCTGCTCTGCCCCTACTCCAGTTGGGGTGACGTGTGTACCACGCTGGCAGGCCGCTGGGCCTGACCCGCCAGTCTGTCGCAGGTCTGCTTACCTTGCAGGCGCGGGTGGCGGCTCTGCCCTGCCCCTCCTACCACGCCCGTGTACCACTGGGTCGCGGGTCTGCCCACCTTGCAGGTGCGGGTGGCGGCTCCGCTCCACCCCCTCTCCAATTGGGGTCACGCGATCACCATGCCGGCGAGCCGCTGGGCCTGCTCCGGGCGCGGGCGGCGGCCCGGCTCCTCCCCTCTGGCTCGACGACAAATTGAGAGAGACTCGGGTGTCTGTGCCTCACCCTCCCTACCAGGAGACCAACTGTTTCTGTAGCCGCTGGTATTGATGAAGTTCTCTCCTCCGCCGCTTTCTGATGACATCAGATCTCTGCCATGTTGGTATCCTATGCGAATGGCAGCATTTCGTTCCCTTTGCCGGGTAACCAAAGCAACGGGTGAGTCCTGACCGGCCCTCAGCAGGACCCGGACCGAGAAGCAGTTTCCGCGGGCTCCTTAGCCCTGGGCCAGAGCAGTTCCGGGAGCCGGAACTCGGCCGCTCCGTGCTCGGTGTATGCTCTGATAAGAGCAGGCTCCAAGAAGCACTCAGGCACTGAGCCTGAGTAATCTGTCTGCAAGCCATAGGCGAATGGTAGCCTGAAATTACCTGTTCTATGGCTGAATGAGCTGCGGTCAGTCGAAAACAGGGATGGTGACGTCAGCTCTCCAAGATGGTGGCCGCTGGCCTCCTCTGTGGTCTGACCGGTGTGGAGAACCGAAATGGACCGCTTCCTTCCCCCGTCTCGAACCCAGAATTCAGCACTGAGTACGGTGCTTGCACGGCTGGCAGAAACTGCAGCGCTGTATCCCTGCGCCACTATCTCCTCCTCGTTTCCCAGCACGCGCTGCAGACTCTAGCCGTGGGGCAATTTGCTGAATAAGCAGTGTTACCCTCCGTGCGACAAATCTCTCGCGTTTGAGTCCCCGTAGCCGATCCGCGTGCGATGGAAATCCTTCCTCCAGGTTCCAGAGCACCCCACTATTGCTGGAAATTCCTAACAAGATAGCCTTTAGCCGTCCTGACTTGTCATACTCCCACACAGTGACGCGGCACACGGGGGCAATGTACTCCCCTCGCCGCCATCTTCCTCCTCCCTATTTATCTTTGTAAAAGTGGTAGGTACTCCCAAAGAAATGGCTGTCTTTGAAAGATGTGCCTCTGAAGTGTAAATTATTGGTTCTGTTCTTACAAAGTACAGAGATCCAAATTGGGACACATATTCCTTAGTTATACAGAGACAAAAGAAACCCTCTTTCTCATGGACTCCCATGGAATGTACATGCCACTGGGTTCCAATGGAGCTACCTTCAGATTCTTATTTGTTTCTACTCATATGAATGCTTGTTATGATCTTTAATCATACAATCTACTTTATAACAAAAATACTTTAATACTTAATCCAAAAGGTGACTATTAACTTGCAAATGGAATTAAAAATACTTACTTAAGCAGTCATTTGTTAGAAGAAAGGAAAAAGCAATAACAGAGTCCCCTGGATTTATAGAATAATCTGTCATAGTAATTTAAAGAGATTCTGGATTGGCAGAATAATGTCCCCTCTCCCACAAAAACATTTACATTGTCATCTCTGGAATTTGTGAATAAGTTGTCTTACATGGCAAAGGGGATTAAGGCTGAGGTGAAATCATGGCTGCTAATCAGCTGAGTTTAAAACTGAGAGATTATCCTGGATTATCTAAGAGGGCTCAGTGTAATCAATCACAATTGATTCCTTAAAATTGGAATAAGGAGCTGAGAAAGGAAGGCAGAAGAGGAGAGAAGAGAAGAAGGGAGAGGGGAGAGGGAGACAGACTATGGGAGAAAGGTAGGGAGCAGTGTGACAGGACTTGGCCTCCTCCTGCTATCTTTGACGATGATCATAAGTCAGGAATAGGGGGTTACCTCTAGAAGCTAGAAAAGGTGAGGAAACAGGTTTTTCCCTTAATCTACCCACACTTTGATTTTAGCCCAGGAAGACCTATGGTGAATCTCCTTCTAACCCACAGATACATAAGATAATAAAGTCACTAAATTTATGTAACTTAGAATAGCAAAAGAGAACAGAGAACAGAGGCTGAATTCATAGTAATGATAATCATATAAAGAACAGCAACTATGAGTGTTTTGGAAAGTAGATGGGCTAAGAAAATTGGCTATAACATACTTTGAACAGGTATTTCAGTAAGCCTTGTTTTTGTACTAATAAAGAAAGCCAAATATAAAATAAAGTTATAGGTGTTGGTTCAAAAACATTTAATATCTTAGCTTTTTGCCCTTGTTTTGTTTATTATATAATAATTATTATGAAGATCATAAAATCTTTGTATTATGCTCTGATACGAATTTTTTTAAAAATCAGCTTTTCATATTATATGAGTTTTGTCCAAAGAATATACTTCTTTTTCATATGCAGAATACCAATTAAAATATTTTTTATTATTTCTTGGGCTCCTTTTAGATGGTATGATGGCAGGATGATTGAACAAGGAAAATCATTGTGTATTTAATAAATGGAAAGCAAAAAAAGTCCTAGTATCAGAGAATGTTTACTTCCGTGAACTAATAATATTTATTCAAACTTCAAAAATAGCCTGTGCTTACCTGTAGTCAAAGGCAGGTGTGTGATACTGTTCAAACAGGTCAGGGTGAACCATGTGGATGACAGTGTAGCCCCAGAAAATAGGAGGAGAAGAATTAGCTTCAGCATACCCCGGATAAAATCTGCAAACCTGAAAAGAAACACTGTTCTATTAATTCTATCTGAACCTTTAATTTTTATAAATAACACTTAATAACATGTTTTCCTTAAACAATGCAAAGAATTCCCCATGCTTTATTTAAAAACTAGCTATATCTTTGTTTTTTAATTGACATATTTTCTTGTATGTATGATGTTACTTTACATTTTTTTTCCTTATTAAACACAAAATGTCATCTTTGGGATCTATAACTCATAGGATGGATTCTGAGTTTTTCAATGTAACTTTAATTTTATTTATATATTCTATACTTTTAAAACATTCTACAATGAAAACACATTATCCCAGTTTTAGAAAGTAGGCTATTTTGTTGACATAAACTTGCAAAGATGGCTCTCCCAATATTCAGGCTCAGAGAATACACACAAGTGCCTACACCAGAACCTCTGAGGTCTTAAGTGACATGATCTGACTGTTCCCCCTTTCCTTGCTATGCTCCGGTTGGATGGCTGTATTTCTGTTTCTCATACATGCTAAAGTTGCTTCCCACAGTAATGGGTATATTTTGCACTTGTCCCATCTGCCTGGAATACTGGTGCTCCCAGACCCTCACCTGGCTCTTCTGCTTATCCTTCAGCTAATTCAGGTCTCAGTTCAACAAGGCTCTCCAGGCTCACTGAGTCCTCCCCATCATGGATTTACATTTTGCTTTATTTCACTATAGTATTTTTTTTTCCTTTTGGAAAAATTGTTTTATTTTTGCATTTGTTTATTTATTTATTTATCCCTACTAGACTTTCCGAAAAGCAAGAATACAGCATCTAGGAACACTGAATATTCTATGAAGTTTGGAACTTTCATAGCATTTTAAATTCTCAAATCATTACCTTTTCCCAGAATCAACATGAAACTAAATAGCATGCCAAAAAAACTTTACATTTGCCAATTGCTTTTCCTCACATGCAGACTGTTAAATGTTTAAGGCACAATCCTCTGGCTGTGCCTCTATACCATTTACTTCATCCTTCAGAAAGGATGCTCCTCCTATAGAAAAAATTGATCCTGTCCCCAGTATGACATTTCCCATGTTCTTTTCACTTTGAAATTTTAAAAACAGATTTATAATCTCTGTTATAATTATGTGGCTGTACTTTTTAACACTTTCTATATTATCCTTTGTTTTACACTTATTTAACATGATATGGTTAATCATGTTTGTTAGTAAAAACTAAGATGATTTCCTGTGAGAGCTGATGCCATCTTTTGGTAGGAAAAATGGATGCACTTTTGCTCAGTGACAAGTTCATTCTCATATAACAATTCAGAAGCAGAAAATTCTGTGTACTCTGTAAAAGGTTCCACAAATTGAGAGAAATGTCCCTCAAAAAATGCAAAACATTTGGTCTTAATCCAAGCTGGCTGAACACTTTCAAATTTACATACTGGGTGCTAAATAAACTCCCTCATCAGAGAGGCAGGTGACAAGATATAAGAGACTGAAACAGCGTTCAGGTACAAATCACAGTTGAACTGCAAGAAAGTTTTATAGAACCTGATCATATAAGAATAAACTGACCACAGTGGTCTGCTCTTTTTTTAAAATATTTTTTTTAGTTGTAGAAGGACACACAATATCTTTGTTTATTAACTTATTTTTTTTAATGTGGTGCTAAGGATCAAATTAGTGCCTCACACATGCTAGGCAAGTGCTCTGCCATTGAGCTATAGCCACAGCTGGGTCTGCTATTTTTTGAGGGTACTGTCCTTTCAAATGGCTGATACCACCAAGAAGAATATAAGGACCAAATAATACCTTTATTAGTGGTCTTTAGCAACATAATTACAAAAAACTACCCAAAGCACTCATGTCTGTAAGGAAATTCCATTCTAGGGAATCCTTGAAAAATGGGGTTCTGAAAATAATTTTTTTTAGTTGTAGATGGATAGCAAACTTTATTTTATTTGTTCATTTTTTATTTTTATGGGTGCTAAAGATTGAACCCAGCCTCACATGTGCTAGGCAAGCATTCTACCACTGAGCCACAGCCCCGGTCTTCTGAAAATAATTTCAAAAATTAATTTTAGGCATTGTAAATAACTAAAATTTGATTTCTGAACCCAGAATAAGAGAAGCACTTTTTAGAACTTCCATTTCAACAAATTAAAAAGCAAAATGTCTTCATTATAATTTAACCCTCTAAATGAATCTATCTACAGTTAAAAATTAAGGAATTGTAGAAAGAAAATAAAGAGAAGCATGTGAGATGTCACTTCTTATTCCCTCTTTGACCTATTTGGTGCTCAGAATAGGATTTGATTAATGAAAATTCACTATAATCTACTTAGAGATTTAATTAGAAAAATTAGGTATGACTCTTGTCAAAATGTGCAGATCAATGTTTTTTATTACCAGTGATTTCCTAAAAATAATATTTTCTATCCTATTTCTTTAGCCTTTAGATTTTATTCTTATAATTTCCTAATTTATACAAACCTCAAATAAAGAAAATTTAGGAGTTATGGTATCAATTTATTCTTTCATTATCCCAGAAATACTATGCAAACTGTAAGGTCTAGATATATTATCTGTGTCAATTATGTTTAAGTATTTAGTTACTGAGGTGATTTACACATTTTATTTGATTACCCCAAATATGTAATTAGATTCTCTTCTTCCTGGCAAAGTTGATTGTCTAATTTTTAAATGACTTGGGAGTTGAAGGAATACTCTCTCTTTGGAAATACCAAGAGTAGTTTTATAGGTAGCAACCGAAGAGTGACATTTCCATTCTTTTCTTTTTTAGAATAAATGAAACAGACACTTTTCCTTCTTCTGATTCATTCTAAAAATGTGTTGTCATAATAGGTTAAGATCAAAAGGAGTTTGATGAAACTGGAAACCTACATGAACATTTTTCATCAAAAATCCCATAGGGACATATCTGCCATAAAAAACCAGAAACACATATCTGCTACTGGGAGATTGCCTTCTTATGAAAAGTTCTAGAGATGCTCTTATAAATTATTCAGTTCTTTCTTATTCTTGTTAACTATTGATTTACCTTTCTTTGGGTTCCATGGAGATGTTTCTCTCTAACAATATGGAGAGAGACAGCTTAATTACACTGGAAATACATTTCTGATCTGCAAAAAACATTTTAGGAAGAACTACACCTGAGAAGGATTCCTATAGCAGTAAATTCTATTCATTCAAGTGAATTTCTTGTAGCCTAAACAAGTGCCCTTTTCCAACCTTTGCCAGTTCTACTTTCTCCTGAGTTTTAATGTTTCTTTAGGAGAGCCTATTTCTCTGGGCTTTTCCCGCTCTTCTGTCCACTCACATTTGATATAAAATATTCTTACCTTGCCATAGCTATTCCAACAACACAGCCTCCAACTATGGACCAAAATCCAATCCAGCCAGCATCTACCTGTTAATCAAGCAGGAGACACATTTCAGGCAAGACTTTCATGTTGCAATTTAGAAAATGAAAAAGAAAACCTTTATGAACAATGTGTTAACAGCCAATTGGCAACAGATCTGGGAAATATCATTTAAGAAAATGGACAAAATGAAAGGATTCACATGTAGCTGATTAACACAAACTAATGTAAGTATGTCCTTGATTAACTTTTTATTGGAATGTTTAAAGCAACCAAGTAATCAATGTCATTAAATATATTTTCCATTATGTTCTTCATTGTACTAGGAATGCTTAAGACAATGGGAAAAGGAGAGGAAATGATCACTGAGTTCAAAAAGTTTAAATATCACCAGCATACATGAAACTACTAGGAAATAATTAGGGGATAAAATGTTTGGCAATATCTAAAAATGTACTGAGAGAAGAGAGAAGGAGGGAGGGAGGGAGAAATATGTGGCTGAGCAAGAGAGTGGATAGAGAAAGAGAAGATGAGTTGGGTTCAAGTGTATAGAATATTCTTCCCTTGACTAAACATTTCCATCCCTGCCATTTACTAGCTTTGTCATTCTGGAAAAATTATGTCTTCTTACTTATAAAATGGATGCAGTGAGATAATGAGTATACAGGACTAAGGTCAATGGCCAGCACACAGGAAGTACTCAATAAATGTCCACATTTGTTATTGCCCAATGATGCTTCTCTATTTATCTGATGTTCTTCATGGCCAAACTCTTTCAGGGCAATCTACAAATCCTGCTACATTTCCTCATCACTCATGTACTTTAACTCTTTTAAAAAATTAATTTAAATTGGTGAATGACAATTATGCATATTAGTGGGATAAATAATTTCATTTCCTAGTATCTCCCTTTCTCCTCCCTTCTTTCCCTCCCCCTTACCCTCTTCTGTTATATGGTTTAGTTGAGGTGTCCCCCAAAATCTCATGTGTGAGATAATGTAAGAATTTTCAGGGGTAAAATGGTTAGATTATGAGAGGTACTACCTAATCGGTGTATTAATCCACTGATGGATTAAGTGGGCAGTAGCTGTTGGCAGGTAAGGTGTGGCTGGAGTAAGTAGGTCATTGGGAGTGTGACTTTGGTGTTTATATTTTGTCCCTGGTGAGTGGAGCTCTCTCTCTGCTTCTTGGTTGCCATCCTGAGCTGCTTTCCTCCTTCACACCTTTCCACCAGATGTTCTGCCTCACCTTGGGCCTACAGCTGTAGAGTCAGCCTAACATGTATTAAACCTCTGAAACTGTGAGCCAAAATAAACCTTTTCCTCCTCTTCACTGCTCTTATCAGGTATGTCGGTATGAGTGATGCAAAAGCTGACCAGAATACCCTCTCCTACTCTACTGGTCTCCCTTCTAATTTCATGAGATCCTTGATCCTTTGCTTTTTTCCTTTCTTTTCTCTAAATTCCACATATGAAAAAAGACATATGACCCCTTGACTTTCTAAGTCTGGCTTATTTTGTTTAACATAATGCCCTCAAGTTCCATCCATTTTCTTGTAAATTATACAATTTCATTCTTTATGGCTGAGCAAAACTCCATTGTGTGTATGTATGTATGCATGTATGTATGTGTGTGTGTATATATATATATCTATATATCACATTTTCTTTATACATTCGTCTGTTGACAGACACCTAGGCTGGCTCCATAACTTGGTCATTGCCAAAAACACAAGTATATATGTATTGTTATAGTATGCTGACTTTATAATTTCTTTAGATAAAATATAACTGTAACTCCTATTATGACTTGCCTTCTGCCCCCATACATACTCTAAGCCTCAATTTCCATACTAGTGGAATGGGGATTAAAACACACACACAAACACACACACACACACACACATACACTTATTAAGAGTCAGATCAGTTAGTAAATGTAAAGTGTTCAATACATGTTAGTTGCTGTTTGTGTCTCTTAACATCGTTGCATTTGTTTCTCCTCTTTCCCCTTCCCAGGACCAACATACTTGCTTAGTATCTTGTTTCTCATTTCCATATTCCTGTAAAAACTTCTGAAATGGTCTTCAGAATTTATTTTGCCCACTACTGCCAGGATAGTTACCCCAGCTGTCCTTCTGGCTACAGGACAAAGTTCAAACTTGACCTGGCATTTGAGAGTTATCCAAACTAATTTTTATCTTTTATTACTTTGAATCATACACTGGTATCAGGGTTTGCCAGCTGTCTTTCAAATGTTATCTTCTTCTACCTGGGTACTTAGTTAAATTATATGTGTCCACTCCTGTCTGGTACATGTGACCATGTGACTAAGTTCTCATTGACGGAAGTGAGCAGAAGCGGGGTATGCCATCTACAGGTTAGAATAGAACCTGAAGACAGCTATATGTTTCCTCCATGCTTTCTTTCCCTTTCTACCACTACAGTCTGAATGTGGTCACCGAGAAGCACACATGCATATGACAAGGTCCTGGGGGACAGAAGCAATATCCAAGTCTCTAAATCAGCACTAGGAAAAGAATTGTCCCAACTTTGGCCAATGTTCCTAGAGCATTGTGCACGCTGTCCTAGATTCTATGTGAAAGAGAAACTTCTTATGAAGTCTCAGAATATGGGGAGAACAGCAGCTTAGTCTACTCTAAGGAATACGAGAGCTTCACAGAGGTTTTTTTGCTATACCAGTGTTTGCCACCAGAAGCAAACAAATGCTTTGGAGAAAGATGACATCCTGAAACTTATATTACCATGAGTTTTTTATAACACTGGCATTTGGGGCAGGAGGACTCTTGGCTCTGCAGGACTACCCCTCTCATGTCAGGGCATTTAATATCCATTGTCTAAAGTTTACTTAATGCTATTAGGCCCCTACAGACATTCCCACTTGTCCTTTAGGTGAGTGGGGTCTTGTGCCTGGCTAAGAACCTCTGTGAGCTGGTGGTTCTGCTGCTTGGCCTTTCAGGCCAGTTTGTGCATTTTGCCTCCTTTTTTCATGATACTCACTTCTAGTTAATAAAATTCTATTTTATAATTAAAATTTTTCTTTGCTTTAATTTAAAATTTTGCCTTAATACCTTTAATTCAAGGTCTCTGTATCTGGCAGTGTTTGTATAGAGAAAGATTCCTGAAAGGGCTTCCTAGGGTTTACAATACAAAGCACAGACATGCAAAATTAGCACCATTTAAACAGGTACTTTACTTTTCCTTATCAGAACTGAGCATGCTTGGAATACCTGCTGTCCAGAAAAACAGGTCAGAAAACTAAGAGAAAGCATTTCTTTTATGGTAAAAATACCACTATGTTCTGAACGTTGGTGTCCTAAAACTCATGCATTAGAACTTACTTCCAATGTCATCAATGTCTTAATATTAAGAGGTGGGCTTTAGAAGATGATCAAGTCCTGAGAACTCTTCCTCCATGGACAGAATTAGTGCCCTTTATAAAAGAGGTCAAAGGGTAATGCCTTGTCCCTTCTGCCATGTGAGAACACAGCAAGAAGGCTCCAGCTTGAGGCAGAGGGCCATCTCTCTTCATATACCAAATCTGCTGGTGCCTTGATTGTGGACTTCCCAGCTTCCAGATCAGGGAGAAATAAGTTTCTCTTGTTATAAATTACCCAGTCTAAGGCCTGGATGGACTAACAAAAGTACAGTAGTGATTTGAATTAGTATCTGGTGGAAAATCTATCTGAAGAGAGATTCCACAGGGTAATCCAGAATTATGAAAACATGATCTAGGATGGGAAGGAAATCCAGAAAGACATGCCTAGTATTTGGAGACAATTTCCATTTAGAGGTGTCTCCTGATTTCAGAAAATGTGGCTAAGAACTCTAGATAGGGCAAAGGGGAAAAGGGGAGGGAGGGGAAGGGAGGGGGCACAGGGATAGGAAAGACGGTAGAATGCGATGGTCATTATTACCCTAAGTACATGTATGAAGACATGAAGGATGTGACTCTACTTTGTGTACAACCAGAGACATGAAAAATTGTGCTCTATATGTGTAATATGAATTGTAATGCATTCTGTTGTCATATATAACAAATTAAAATTTTTAAAAAATTTTAAAAAAGAAGAAAATGAGGCTAAGGGAGGGAAAATTATTATAAGCCTCACTGACCTAAAAAATATGAATTTGGGACCTGCTTGAGGTGAGGTAGCCTTGTAACAATGACAGACTTCAACCAGGCACTCTGAAGGACCATATTCAAAGAGTAAGGGGCACCGGAAAAAGATCACTCTGAGGCACCAAAGCCTTGCCTTAAATGATCTCAATCCCTGAAACTAGATTAAGGTGATTTGTGTCAGAAAAAAATACCTCACAAATTCTCTCTGGAAGAAAATAACATCATCTTGAAGGTTAAGTTCTTTTACAACTTTTCATATGCTATGTCTAGCACTCAGTCAAAAATCAAGGAACACAGAAAGTGATTCAATCCCTAGCAACACACACACACACACACACACACACACACACACACACACACATATACACATATATATTCCAATACACAATACATAAATTTATGAATTTATTTATATTTTCATGTGGTGCTAATGATTGAACCCAGTGCTCCACAAGTGCTAGGCAAGCACTCTACCTCTGAGCTACAACCCCAGCCCCATAATTTTCTTTATAAATATTCTCCTCTATGAAGTATAAAGCAAGGATAAATGAAGAGGTCAACAAAGATTTCTGTTTATTACATCATTAATTTCATCCAAAAATGTAAAATTCATGGCTGTTATCAAAATCAAGTTTTAAACTGTTTCACAAGAATCTTGATTTTGCAACAGTGATTTAGGACAATATTTTACTCAGTCTTTCAAGCTAAAACCAAGAACATGTAATCAGTATTTATAAATTAAATTAACTAAAGTACCTATTACATATAAAGAAATAAATTACTTACTTGGCTAACATGCACTGGCGTTAAAATTAAGTCCAGAACTCCAGACCAGCCAGCAAATACACCAAGTGGGATAGCATATGCTAAAGCAATCATCAAAAATCTCAAATTGCTGTAAAAGAAAAGTAAAAGAAATGTACAATTTTCTAATTTGAAAATTTTTAGACAGTAGATTTCATTTTTGTTTTATTATTATTAAAGTTTTCTGTTGAAGATATTTAAATAGGCAATATAATTCAAGTAGCTCAAAATTGAAAGTTATAAAAATATGGAGGGAAATATCCCTTTTACTTCTATTTTCCTCTTCTTATAATTACCAATGTTGTCAATCTTGTGGGTAACTGTCCAATGCAAATATATGTATATTTTCCTCCCAATCTACATTTGCTGAACTTTGCTATTTTTTTCAGGGCTGGGGACCTTGTGCATACAAGGCAAATGCTCGACCATGAGCTAAATCCATAGCTCCTGAACCTTGCTTTTTTAAAATGAAGAGTTCTTATAACTCTTTCTATAAACAGTACATAAATACCTTGTTCATTCTTAGAGCTGCATGGTATCCACGATGTGGATTTATCATAAATTTATGTAACCATACATATGAACTTTTACTCTTTTGATCTTATAAAGTCATTTCATATCTGTGCTAGTGCACCCATAGGATCAATTCCAATGTGCAACTGCCAGGTCAAAGCGTTTGTATATTTGTAGCTTTACTAGATACTGCTAAGTGTCCTCCACAGAATTATATCTCTACATACCTATCAAAAGGACTAAAATAAAAACATTGTGATAACACAAAAATCTGACAAGGATGCACAAAGAGTGGATGACTTGCACTGCTCATGGTAATAAAAAATGGTAAAACCACACTGATAAATGTAGGGGAAAAAAAAAAAACCAAACAACAACAACAATCCCAAACTACCACTACTACCTTACAATCCAGCAAACGCACTGCTGTATATTTATCCCAGAAAATTAAAACTTACATTCACTCAAAACCTGTATACAAATGTTTATAGAAACTTTTAAGTAAAAGCCAAAATGTAGAAATAACCCAGATATCACTCAGCAAGTAAATGGTTAAGTAAACTGGTACAACCATATCATGGAATACTGCTCAGCAACAGAAAGCAATGAACTAGTGATGTAGCCAACAAACTGGATTACTCTCCAGAAAATTACACTGAGTAAAAAAGGCCAAACTTTTACGTATTAAATATTACTTATATTATATAAGCTTCTTGAAATAACAAAGTTGTAGTCACAGAGAACAGAGTAGTACTTTCTAGGAATTGAGGAGTCAAGTGGGAGAGGACTAAGCGTGGCTGTAAAAGGACAACAGGAGGGATCCTTGCGGGATGAAACCTTTCTGTATCATGACTGCATCAACGTCAGTGTTTTGTCTGTGATACTCTACTTTTGCAGGATGTTATCACTGGGGGAAACTGGGTGAACAGTACATGCTATCTTTCTCTATTATTTCCTACACTGCATGGAAATCTACAATTACCTCAGAGTAAAAAATTTAACATGAATTTTAAATATAAGGTAAAAATGTAATGAAAATTAGATACCATTCAAATAGCTTTAAAAAAAAAAAAATATAGATGGAGAGATATATATAGAGAGAGAGAGAATCTAGGAATAAACCAGAAAGGCCAGGAATCTCTGTAGGGTGGGAGGTCCGTGTGTGTGTGTGTGTGTGTGTGTGTGTATGTGTTTGTATGTGTGTGTGTGTGTAGGGGGAAGTCACCTTTAATTTAATTAAGGCCACTGAGGATCAAAGACCTAGACCAGAGACCTTGCACCCACTAGAAGAAAATGTAGGCCAAATCTTTATCATGTCAGTTTAGGAACTGACTTCCTCAACAAGACTCCTAAAGTACAAGAAAGAAAATCAAAAATCAACAAATGGGATGGTATCAATCTAAAAAGCTTCTTCACAGCAAAGGAAACAATAAAGAGAGTGAAGAGAGAGCCTACAGAATGGAAGAAAATTTTCGCCATCTGCACCTCTGATAGAGCTTTAATATCTAGGATATACAAAGAACTAAAAAATACCCCTCCAAAATAAATAAATAAAATAACCCAATCAATACATAGGCAAAGGAACTGAACAGGCACTTCACAGAAGAAATTCGAATGGTCAACAAGTATATGAAAAAATGTTCAATATCACTAGCAATTAGAGAAATGCAAATCAAAACTACACTGAGATTTCATCTCACTCTATTCGGCAAGGCAACAATCAAGAATACAAGTAACAGGGGAGATCCAAGATGGCAGAACAGAGGAGGTCTGTGGCATGAAACCAAGAAAGCAGACAGGCAGCTTCTCCACAAGGTCTCGCCTAGATGGAATACAACATCAAGAGTGTGAGAGGACCCCTATACAGCGGATTTTTGCAGAAATCACCAGCGCTGCAACCACCCACAAAGAAATCAGAGCCTCTGTGCTTGAGTAAGTCTCTAGACTCTGGACCCAAAGCCCACAATTCTAGCTCACCGACGGCTCACAAGTGGCTTAGCAGAACAACCTATCCTGCACCTCTGCAGAACTCCAGGCTGCCTTCCACTCCCACGCAGGTCACTCGGCTGCTACCTATCGACAGCACAAGGCCATCGCCCAGCTTCCCCCACATCATCAGACACCCCAGCACTGGAAGCAGACTGATTCCACCTTGGAAAACCTTCATCGCCATTTTGTGGTGGGCATGGCTACCAGATCAGGTCACCATCTAAGCAGGTATCTGAATACCAATCCCCCCCCACCGCCCCCAAGCAGCGGTAACTCATCACAGTGACCACCCAACACAAAAATAGCTCTCAGTTGGACCAGAGTGCAGTGTGAACATGGCGCTGCCCACCTGGTGTGAGCCTGGGGGTGACAGGTCCCGTAGTTGGGACCTGATAAGTAAGAGAGGGGAAGGGACTAAAGTCTGGATCATAATAGAGGGACTAGGATCTGGGAAAACTACAGGCAAGAGAGGGAGACGGTATCGAGGGCACAAGTCAGATGATTGGTCACAAAAAAAGACCCATGAGGTGCAATTTTCCTGTTGGGACTGGTGGACAGAACTCCCCACTTCCAGAGGCTCTACACCAGGTCCAGTCTTCACACCCTGATTACCTACACCATCCTGAGGGCAGAGACACCTGCTAGATGAGACAACCCCACCTACTAGATGAGAAGAGAAAGAAATGGATCTCTAAGAGTATTTTTCCCCCTTCTTCTTCTGTCTCTTCTACCCTTCTATCCTCTGGCCCTCACATCCCCAACATATGTAAAACCAAGAACTTTGCATAAAATAGGACTTTGAGGACTGAGTCACCTGAATAATATAATATAGAGGAATTGCATAAGCCCCCTTTTCCTTTTTCTTCTCTTTTTCTTTCTTTCCCTTTTTTGTTTTACTCTTTCTTCTTCCTTCACCGTCCAAATTTTACTATTTTCACATCCTGTATTTTTCTAAATACATATGTGTGTTTGTTTTATGTACTCTACTGTTGTCCTATGTAATTGTCTACCCTAAATTACTTCCTGTATATTCCCCTGGAAATAACCCTCTTCATTAGATTTCTCCTTCACATTTCCTAAAATATATTAATTCTATACCGTCACATCTTTTCCCCTCAGCATATCACCCTACGCCTGACACCCAGTTCATTGTCTACTGCCAGAAATGCTAAACCTTTTTATGAAACTACTGATTATATTTTAAATAATAATTGAATCCAATATTTCTGGACATTGAGACTAAACTGTAAATGTCTTAATAACAACAATTTGTTCACAGGTGATGTATTGTTGATATTGGGATCCGTTAACATTGTTCTTCCCCACAAAAGAAAGATCTTGGAACCCTACAAGAGCACTACAAATCTATAGGGTAAAAACAATAACACACCAGATCCACAGAGCTGGAAAGGAAGACACATGAGCAATATGAAAAGACAAGGGAAGAAAGTAACACAAACAAATCAAGAAGACACATCATTAGAAGTATTGTCAGCTAGAGCAGAAAAAATTACAGAGAAAGATTTCAGGATATACATGGTTAAAATATTTTGGGATCTCAAAGAAGACATAAGAGAACAAATACAGGTAGTGAAAGATCACTTTGACCATAAGCTACAGAAACAAATCCAAGAAGCAAAAGATCACCTCAACAGAGAGATAGAGGTTCTAAAAAAAAAAAAAAAAAAACCCAAACAGAAATCCTTGAAATGAAAGAAATAATAAATTAAAAACTCAACGGAAAGCATCACCAACAGAGTGGGCCACTTAGAAGGTAGGACATCAGACAATGAAGATAAAATAAATCATCTTGAAAAGAATAAAGACCATACAGTGAAAATGATAAGAAACCACGAACAGAACATTCAAGAAATATGGGATAGCATAAAAAGACCAAATTTAAGAGTTATTGGGATAGAGGAAGGCATAGAGGTCCAAACCAAAGGAATGAACAATCTATTCAATGATATAATATCAGAAAACTTTCCAAACATGAAGAATGAATTGGAAATCCAAATTCAAGAAGCCTACAGGACGACGCCAAATGTACAAAAATCACAACAGATCCACACCAAGGCACATTATAATGAAAATGCCCAACACAGAGAAAAAGGAGAGAATTTTTTTTTTTTTTAGAGAGAGAGAGAGAATTTTTTAATATTTATTTTTTAGTTTTCGGTGGACACAACATCTTTGTTTGTATGTGGTGCTGAGGATTGAACCCGGGCCGCATGCATGCCAGGCGAGCACGCTACCGCTTGAGCCACATCCCCAGCCCAAAAGGAGAGAATTTTAAAAGCCACAAGAGAAAGGAATCAGATTACATACAAGGAAAACCAATTAGGATAACGGCAGATTTTTTAACACAGACCCTGAAAGCTAGAAGATCCTGGAACAACATACATCAACCTCTGAAAGAACTTTAAAGAAGAACTAATACCAATACTCTTTAATTTATTTCAGGAAATATAAAAAAAGAAAGGCAGTAATTCCAAAATCATTCTATGAAGACAATATTACCCTGATCCCAAAACCAGGCAAAGACACATCAAAGAAAGAAAACTTCAGACCAATATCTCTAATAAACAT